TTTCTTTTCTTTTCTTTTCTTTTCTTTTCTTTTCTTTTCTTTTCTTTTCTTTTCTTTTCTTTTCTTTTCTTTTCTTTTCTTTTCTTTTCTTTTCTTTTCTTTTCTTTTCTTTTCTTTTCTTTTCTTTTCTTTTCTTTTCTTTTCTTTTCTTTTCTTTTCTTTTCTTTTCTTTTCTTTTCTTTTCTTTTCTTTTCTTTTCCTTTCTTTTCCTTTCCTTTCCTTTCTTTTCTTTTCCTTTCCTTTCTTTCCTTTTCCTTTCCTTTCTTTCCTTTTCCTTTCCTTTCTTTCCTTTTCCTTTCTTTTCCTTTTCCTTTTCCTTTCTTTTCCTTTTCCCTCTCCTCTCCTCTCCTCTCCTCTCCTCTCCTTTCCTCTCCTCTCCTCTCCTTTCCTCTCCTCTCCTCTCGTCTCCTCTCCTCTCCTCTCCTCTTCCCTTCCCTTCCCTTTCCTTCCCTTCCCTTCTCTTTTCTCTTCTTCTCTCTTCTTCTCTCTCCTTCTCTCTTCTTCTCTCATCTTTAGAATAAGGGTTAAATGAATACAAAATATTTTACAGGCTCAGCTTCACTTCCAAAGTGCTCATCCTGCCCTTTCCATGTTATCTCACTCTATCCCTGCAAAACCCTCATCATCTTCCTTCAATGCTACCTCAACTTTTCCTTCGGAAATTCTGGCTCTTCCCCTTTTCAGGAACCTCAGCCTTTTCCTCTTGTTCACTCTGAAAATGCCCTTGCACTATGTCCACAATGCCTGCCCTTCCCCATCTAACGCTGCCCCCGCTTTCGCCAATCTATGTGGTCTTTATTATCCCCATCGAGTTTTTTTCTCTATTTTTTTCTCACCTAAATTGTCCTCGCTTTTCTCCATTTAAGTGGTCTCTATTTTTCCTCACGCTGTCCGTGCTAGGATGCTACCGCTTTGTCGGTCGCCCCTCCCTAGAGGTCGCCGCAGTGTCCCCTCGCCATCCCTCAACGTCCCTCCGCTCCCCGACCCTCACTTCAGCCCGCGCTGCCTCGCGCTGCGCAGCGCCTCCCGCCGCCGTCGAGCCCCGACTCGAACTGCGCCTCCGACGGCGCGAGCCCGCCTTAAATAGGGGCCGCGCGCGCGGTGCCTGAGGCGAGCGGGGCGGGCGCGAGGCGAGGGGGGGGGGGCTACTGCGCGGAGCGCAACGGCCGTTTGGGCGGGAAGAGCTGCGCGCTCGCACCACTGAGGTGGGGCAGCCCCAGCGCCCCAGCGAGCTGCTCCGTCCCTTGGGTCCTCTCAGGAAGTGCTGGCCGCAAGCGGTCTCAGGGGTGTCTTAGTTCAACACAAGTTACGCTTCGTCGAACTTTTTTGGGATGTGCTTCTTTTTTTCTGCCAGATATTGTTTGGAACAAAAGCTTTTGAATCACAAAACTCTTAAGAACATATTATTGTTGTCTAACCTTTCATAGTGATGAAATTTTGTTTTATTTTGGCTTTTTTTCTCCTTTTTCTTTCCTGCTTGAAATTTTATTGTTATTTTTGATTTTTTTTCCTCCCAAATGATTCACCTAGCTCTAGGATATTTATTGAAATTCTCAATACAATATTCAAGGGAAATTAATCTCCCCTTATGCTTCATAAGAACAACTACATAGTCCAAACAAAGTGGCTTGCAATTTTCATCAGCTGAGGATGTGGTTCTTCACATTACAGAGTAAGTGTGTGTAGGACCACAGGCAAAGGATGTGATATGTATCACTGTCTTCCATCAGATCAGTCGTTACTTTAAGCCATAGCTTTCCAGCAGGCAGTTATTTGCTTTAGCATGACTGAAAAACATGTGGTGACAGTAACACACAAATAACTATTACAAATGGCTAAATGCATGTTCACTACGTTATTAAATCTTGTAAATGAAAACGTATACAGTTGGCTTATATGCACAGTCTCAGCAGATGGCAAACGATCAGAGAAAGTAAGTCCATCCTTTCAATGAGCTCCCCAAAAGGAGCCTAGAAAAGGACAGGAATCTTCTTGGCCTTAAACAAAGCATAAATACTCCAAAGAAGTGCTGTCCATCCATTAAAAATAGATTAATTTTAAAGGGAGTAAAATGGCATACATATATATTAAAACTTTCCCAGCCTGTTCTCAGGGAAAAATCGGAGTATGTTACATATACCAAAATAATAACATATGAGGCTTCCTATGGTGGCTCTGAATAACAGTTTAACACTTCAGAAGAAAACATCCAGCTTTCTGCAGTGTTACAGCCGTTACAGTGTTACAGCAGTGTTACAGTGTAGCCTTTTCTGAGTTCTGTGCTGAGGTATTGGCTCTAGTTATTTGGCTAGCCTGACATTGTATGCAAGATGCAGACTGGAACATTACTTGGTTAATAAAGAAAATATTTCAATAACATTTGGAAAGTTCAAGAGAATTCAGATTGACTTTCACACTAAGGATGACTCAGGAAGGCAGGCGTCTGTGCATTTCACAGTAATTCCTATTTGCAGTATCCTAGAGGGGTCAGTAGCTCAACTGCAAAATACGTAGGGTGCCACAATGAGAAATGGCTGAAGTACTCTTCTAAATGCACTCCTTGCTAGAAAAGTCATACAAAAACTCAAACTTATTTTAAATCTAACCAAAGAAACAGGCTTCATTCATTTTTCTTTCTGCTAATAAGAAAAATACATTCCAAAAAGAGTATCAAGCTATTTATTTAAAGAGAGAAGCTTTCTTAGGAAACACCCTGATAATTAAGGACTCCTTTTTCTTTAAAAGCTAGTTAGAATCAAAGATATTAAAGTATAAGCATTTAAAATAAAGCAACAACGGCTTACTGCCAGGAATGGTGTCTCTTGCTATATAAAGTCCTAAGAGATCTATTTGCCATCTGCTTGAAGGAGGCAGGCAGCTTTTGAGGCCCTGGCTCTGTGTGGTGGCGGTGCCACTGGGCCGAGGTGACAGCCAACAGCCGGCCTGGAGCTGCTTGGCACGGCCAGCCTGGCATGCTCCGCGCTCCAGGTGCCCTGCCAGGGCCCTGCTCTCTCCCTTTCCTGCTCCCTTTGCCGAGTGCACCCGGGCCGCCGTGTCGCAGAGAGTCGCCCTGGGCTAATCCGCACCACGGAGGGCCAACTGCTCCACGTGTGCCCTGTGCTGCCGCCCCTGCGAGGGCTGTGGGCAGGCAGGGCGGCCAGCCGCCCGCTAGCCCCAGGGCGGCCCGGCGTCTCCGGAGCAGGGCAGCCCAGGCAGGGCGGCCAGGCGGGGAAGGGCCTCCCTCCGCCGCGGGCTTC